AAACCCAAATGTCACTAACTTAAAAGCTCATCAGTTGATTGTCATCCAGTTCTTTAAATTCTTCATTAAAGAGTAAAAACAAAAGTGATAAAGTAAAGGAGCCTTATTGAGCAACAAAGGTTGTCGTTGGAAATTGCAATAGTGGCGATATGAAAAAAGATCATTAGGAGATGTTGATTAAAGGAAAAACTTAGTCATTCAAATAACCTAAAATTATTTATTCTCTAATTCTATAACTTATTTTAGTCTTCAATTGTTAAAAGTAAGGGTTCTAAATTTCACTTAATAGATATTAACCAAGGAAAAATTAAATATAAAAAAAATGATGGAAAGATGTTAAGTGGTAAAATGGTATATTGAAACATAGTGAGAAACATGTGTAACTTAAATATAAAGAGAACCACTCCATCTATTTCCAGTTGATTTTATGTTGGATACAAACCTTCTGTTAAAGGCCACATATGCAATTTTCACATGGTGCCTAGGCTTCATTCCTTAAAAGCCCAAAATCCCATGATAGTTCAAGGGAAGGCTTGGTTTTTAGGTTAGAACCTCACTTTGTGTTTTAGCCAACATGTCAAAATTTTCACTTAGTCTCAGAGATCATGCTCGATTCCGGGAAAGCTTAAAAGCACATGATAGTTTGAGCTTGCATGAATAGATGACATGTTAAACCTATTTGTTTGCCTAAGATAAATGTGACAAATAGGACCTACACTTGAGGAAGATTTGATATTCATAACCTAAGATCCAATTTTCAAACTCGAAGTTCAAAACAAGCTTACACATGAGAAGGGCATGTTAAGTGAGAAAATCCTACAATATTCAAGAAGTATCAAAGTGATATGTAAGCTAAAACACAAGGTGGAGTTCCAATCTAAAACCAATTGACAATAAGTAAAATAATCTTCCTTGTATTTAAGTCACACATGTTTCTTATTGTGTTTCAGTGTGAGATTTTGTCACTTAACATGCCTTTTTGTGTGCAAGCCTAATATGATGTCTGGTCTTGTTATGTAACAAGTTTTTGGCAGTGAATTCAAATTCCTCACATTTTATTGGAAAGTATAACTTTCTCTATATTTGTAAGAATGTTTATGGAGACATTTAAGGAGATATTTGACAGAATAAAAAAACAAATAAAGATCTAAATCAAATCATGCTATATGCAATTAGAATTCCTAAATATCTAATTTCCCCACATTATTTTTTTTTAGATTGTCTTTTACACTAACTGTACAATTGAGGTCTTATGTACTCATTCTACAAATCAAGTAATACAATTTGCAACCCTTAGGCTTTTTTTGTGTGAATGTAGGTCCCACCTTTTGGTGGTTGGTTGAACCATGCTATTTTTCTTGTTCTTCATCCTTGACTTCAGACCTTTATGTTTTATCTCTATAAATTTATCATGATATCAAAGTGAGTTTGATCTAACTTTTAAGCAAGTTTTGATTTCTCATGTTTTGTTCAAATCTCCAATCATAAATACTACTGGAGTTGTTTCCTAATAGAGTTTGTTGACTGCATTTGTAGTCGAGATTGTAACTTCATATTTCTAACTGAGATGGAAATTTATGTTTTTTAGATGAGATGGTAAATTTTTTGTGGCTAGTCCAATTTCTTGCATTTTATTAAACTTTGCAATCATCAATTTTAGGGAGAGTTCATCTTCACAAATTTAGAGGACATGCGATGACCCTTTACAAATTCAGCCTCCATTAATACATTATCATGATTCAAGTTAGAAACTACATTGGAATTTTGTGATCCAACTTGAGGGGGAGAATTGAGTATAACTTTCCTAATATTTGTTGGAGATTTTAATGTGACAATCAAGGACAAAATTGATAAAATCAAAACAAATCAAGATCTAAATCAAATCACAATATGTATAGTTAGAATTCCTAAAGTTATGATTTTTTCACCATTAATATTTTGCATATTTTATCTTTTACACCCACTTAAAAAGTGAGGTTTGTGTACTTATTCTACAAGTCAAGCAATACAATCTGTAGCCCTTAGGGCTTTTATATGTGATCATAGGTAACCATTTTGGTCAACTAAACCACATTATTTCTCTTGTTCCTCATTCTTGATTTCATACCTTTATTTTTTATATTTTTATAATTTATGATGCTAGTAGAGCATGCTACATTCCTATTAAGCCCATTAATAGCCTATGTGATTGGATCTAAAGTTCATGTCAAACCTATATGTAAGAGGGAGTATTGACTCATGTGATAGGATCTAATGCTCATGTTGGAGTTGTATAAGAGGGGGCTATGTTGATCGATAAAATTCCATATTGAAACATAACCAAAAAACATGTGTGACGTAAATATAAGAAAATTTATGCCGTCTATTATTAATTGGTTTTAGGTTGAAATATCGTTTTGTGTTTCAACCCCTTTTTTGTATAATAAGGGGGCATGTTGAGTGGCAAAAATCTTGGATTTTTTTTATGATTATTGAGCAAAGATTATGGCTTTTGATTGAGTATTTTTGACTGAAAAATCCTAAGATGAAAAGCTTTATGGTTGATTGGTTTCATGTCATCAATTGTGAGGTGTTAATCTTGTGATTTGAGATAGGGGATTTCTTTGTTGAACTTTCTTTTTTTCATCCCCTTTTTATGGTTTCAAAGTAATAATGATAAATCTTCTTGAGGTTAAAGATAAGGTTATAATGGCTATTCCTTTTAAATGGCCATCTCAATAGATTGAGTCTGATATAAAATAAACATTTGTTATTTTATTACCATGTAAGTATTGAACCCTGCCACAACCATCTCTCTATTAGGATTTAACACTTTGGTGATGCCAACTGATGAAATAAGGGTTGATTTGCTGCCATAAGAAGAATTAAGTGGTTGATTTGCTCTTATTTTTAATTGAGGGGTTAATTTGTCACTGTTTAACCAGTAAGGGGCTAAGTTTCCATTTTTGCCATTTATGTTAGTAAATTCAAAGGATATAATGATATTATCCTAATATGTATCAAATTATATTAATAAGAAAATTAATGGTACAAAATGTTTTTTTAACAGTTCAAGTGTTTTCGAGTTAATTTGCATGCCCTTTTAGTTCGATCAAATTGAGGTCATCCATGTTGCAACTAGGGAATTCATGAGAAATTTATTTATCATTAGCCTTTCTAAATAATTAAACTTTGGTCAACAAGGTGTATAAACTTTATGTGTATGTTAAATCTCAAAATTTTTATGTTTGTTTATCACAAATCACAAGTATGTTATACCTATTTTAAAGGTTAAAATACTAATTTGGTCCTTCAATTTTTAGATTTATATCAAAATTGTTCTTCAACTTCATAAAATACCAAAATTATCCCTAAATATTAATTTTTGATACCAAAATTGTCCTTTTGTTAACAAAAGTGCCATATAACTCATTATTTTACCACAAAATCAGTTCTTTTTTAAAATACTAATAATTTGTAAAATTAAATAGTCATATTTTACCATCATAATATATTTTCATTTACACATTAGATTGACATATAGTTAAAGTTGAAACACTAAATTAGTATTTGTAATCAAAGGATTAAATTGGTACGTGTCTTCAAAGTTTAAGGACTAAATTAGTATTTGTCTTCAAAATTTAATGACTATTTTGGTATAAAAAATTAAAGTTTAGGAATAATTTTAGTATTTTTCAAAATTAAAGGATAATTTTGGTATAAATGTAAAACTTGAGGGATTAAATTAATATTTTAACCTATCTTAAAAGCCTTGAAGTTTTAAAGTGCATCAATTAACAGGGCATTGATTCCTCACCATTTTGACATCTTGCCACTCAAGAGTCAAGATGTCAAAATCAAGAATCTAGGTAAAATCATTTTGGTGAAGTAAAATCAAAATCGTAAAATCGAATTGGTAAAATTAAAAGTTTACTAAATTAATTTAAAATTTATATACTATTAAAATTTAACATCAAATGTTTAAATTTAAAATTTATCTAAGAAGTTTTATCACTAATTAATTATTTCAAATCTTTTTTGAACATTTTCCTATTTTAAAGTTATTAAATTATTTTAAATTTTAATAATTTTGACTTCAAAAAAAATTATAATAAAATATTATTAATTTAATTTATAAAAAATTGACAAAACTTTAAAATTTTTGCTTGAGAACTCAAAAATGTCTAATTACATGGTTAAGATTTGAACCACCACCAAACAACCCATAAATAGTCCACAAGCACAGCTCCACCAATGCACTAGTGTTAGTCACATTATGACACAAAAATTCATAAAACTTTTTAAATTTGTAAAATTCAGATTTTTTTGATTTTATCTAATTTATGATTTTACGATTTTATTGTTTCGAGTTTATGGGATTTCAATTTTAACTTCGATTTTACAAGAATTGTATACATAAAATTATGAAATCATATGATTTTATAAGTTAAAATGCGATTTTGACGACCGAGTTGCCACTTCGCGGGGGGGCGGGGAAGGAGAAGATAGCAAAATTTTGTTTAAACTGAAACCCAATTGCTCGATTCACAATTGCGCTAGTGGTGGCCCAAATATCATGCGTCCCACTCCTTACATAGGATTGCAGAAGCAGGAGAAAATATATAAATAAAGATATTAATTTTATATTTTTTTATTTAAAATTGTTAATTTTTAATTTTTTTTATTTAAGGGTGTCAACTTTAAAATTTTTTTATTTAAATATGTTAATTTTTAATATTTTGGTTAAAAAATTTATTTACCATATTAGTATCAATATCTAATTAACCTTTAAATAAAAAAATTAAAAATTAGTATCTTTAAATAAAAAAGTTAAAAATTGACATATTTAAATAAAAAAAAAATTCAAAATTGACATATTTAAATTAAAAAAAAGTTAAAAATTAATATATTTATTTAAAAATTAACAAAGTTAACGTCCGTTAATTAAAAAAAAAAAAGAAGCAAAGTTGATGTCTTTATTCACATGTTTTCCCGAAGAAGCAGCCCTTTTCTGCTTAGCAGAGAGTAGAAGCAGCAACCCTACTTTGCTAAACAGAGAAGGAACACTGAGAGGAGGAAAATCAATTGAATCAGAAGAGGATAATGCAAGAAGCAGAGCTGGTGACGCCGGGGGAGGTGTTGGGAAGAGCTGCGGAACTGAAAGCAGGGAAGGGTGCTTACGTAGCGCCCCACAACAAAACCATCTACGCTTCTCTCACTGGACTCCGCCGCATCATTCCCCCTCCCACTGATTCCGCAGACCAGGTGATGTTAATCATCATCTTCTTCTTCATTTTATTTTATTTTCTTTTTATTATTTAGTTTTAAGTTATTCCAGGTTTTTACTTAACTAAACCTCCTTCTCTGAGTCTTGTATGTATGTACATAGGCTTGGTACTCGGATGGTATGAAGATGCTAATATTCAAGTTTAAGTTGGAAAAAAGGATCTTTTTTTTTTTCTTTTCTTTTTTGGTTGTTGTGGGTATTCTTGTTCTAATGCAAAAATTATGAGGTACCGATAATTTTTCTGGGAACAAGCTTCTATCAATCCTCTTTATAATTGGAAGTTGGAGATGTTTTGTAGATATGTAATAATTTTGTAAATTTTGTTATTAATTTGATTGTTTAATGAAGTTAAATTTAATGTTTTGGGTTATCAATTATTGATTCATTTTCACTTCTCTTTAGTTTGTTTTCTCCAAATTGATCTAAAAGCCTCAAAAAGTGTATCAAAATGGTATATTCTTAGAGGTTTCGTTAAGTTTTTCTAACCAAATTCCATATTGGCGCTTAAATTTCGCAATACAAATGTAAATGGCCTAAGAAAAGAGCCCAAATGTAATTTTTCTAGGCCATGCATGGTGTCAATGGGGTGCTACATGGTCACTGACGTAGAATTCCATTTAGGGACTTACAGAACGTCAACAGATTAACAATTTCAATATGCTTTTCAAAGTTTCTAGGCCAATTGAGAGAAAATAGTCTTTCTAGATCAAAGTGATAACATAACAACTGAACATTAAGTTTAGCCATTGTTGAGAGATGAGAAACTAAAGTTTTAGACTATTCTCTTTAGAATTCAAAGATTGTATATTGTTTTATTTTGAAAAAGTTTTCTAGTTTATGATGAAAAGATTGAAATTTTGCTTATCCTTATCTAATTGTTTGTGAGGATTCTAATTTTTTTTGGACCTTTTGGTTCAAATCAGGAAGAGTATTTTCTGAGGAGATTAAGCTATTTAGCTGGAAAATTGTTCAAATTTTGGAAACTTAAATGTTTGCTGCAGAACTTGTGAAAGTCAGTGAAAAAATATGAATTTATCCTCACCTAGGTTATTGGCATATTTGTAGGTTGAACCACCAATTAAATTGTAAGTTTTTGTCCCTTTTCTGTGCAGTCCTTGGTAACCAAATGGTTGTGAATATTGCATGAAAAGGAAAAATTATCTCCTATTTGTTCTAACAAAATTCTTTTTCAATTTTCAGGAAAAAATGAAAAAGGAGGACTTAATTTTTTTTCTTTTTTTTTTGGTTGCCTTCTTTCTCTATATGCATGGTTTGGATAAGTTCATTCTATGATTTGGTGCTTTGGTGCTTTGGTTTTCAGCTTTTGCACTTGTGCTTATAAACTACATAGTTGATTCTTCTTTAATTTCTAAACATGTTAATTATAATACTTAATTGTGAGAACTGAGAACCAGTGATCATAAGGTCCTTTGGAAAATGCATGCTTAACATTGGAGTGAGGCATTTTATGGTTTATGGATATGGCATTTAATTTCACTTAGTGTTGTAGATGTGCTAGAGTATCTTTTATCTGGATTGATGTTCTGAGCCTTTAACTTAGCTGAAGTTCATAGCTTTATCTTGTTGGAAAATTTTTTGTTATTGATTATCTTGATAATTTTCTTTTATAGCGACCAACTGTGGAAGTAACTGGTCACAAAGCCCATGGTCCTGTTCCAGAGCCTGGTTCTGTTGTCATTGCCCGGGTAAGTTTTATATACCTATTCTTTTATCCATATTTTGCATTCAAAAGAAACACCTGGCCCAAGTCATTGATTGGGAGTAATGGTGTTCAATTTTATGTTTCTTGTGCCTGTATGCCTTTCTTTTATCTATGAATTAGCAGGTTCATCTCTATTTGGATAGCTTGAGCATCATTCAATTTGTTATATCACAATCAGGGCTTTCTTTAAAGTTAACTTTATCTAATATCCTTGAAGAAATAAAGGTTGGGATTAACTCTTCTTATTTAGCTTGTGAAGTGGCCTTTAACATTTTTTTTTTCTTTTCTTTTGGCCAAATAATTTAGATTACAAAGGTGATGGCCAGGACAGCATCTGCTGATATTATGTGCGTTGGCCCAAAATCTGTGAGAGAAAACTTTACTGGCATAATCAGGTACATGGTATGCTTTATCTTTATTAATAGAAGGGATAGGGACAATTGATGCATTGCAGTCTTGGGCTGATATTTGTCATAATATGGGTTTGAGTCTTGAAAGCAACAATCCAACCAGCCTATCTTAGTACACACTTTAGTGGAATCATAATTTGGTAGTGACCCTATATATCTTTGCATAACCTAAGTTAAATTATTATAGTCTTTTTAGTAGTTACTTTTGCATATAAATTTTTATGAATATAAACATGTAATATGTCATATGCATTATTTGAGTTGCATAATACCTTTAAAAATTTCATCAGGTTTTGTTGTTTAAGCTAGATTTTGGAAGAATTTATTAACTGTTTATTTTTACAGGCAACAAGATGTTAGAGCAACTGAAATTGACAAGGTGGATATGCATTTGTCTTTTCATCCAGGCGACATGGTCAGAGCTGTAGTTGTATCCATAATGCTTGAAGTTTCTCTTCTTCTATTTGTTTGTGTGAAATAATTGCTTAACAGCAATGTTAGTTGGCAGCATTTTATTTGTTCATCAAGAAGTTCCTATTTGACCCAAACACTGTTTTTTGAAAAGTGCTTCTGGCGTTTTTGAAAGTTGTTTTCAGCTTCTAAAGTGGTAGGGGCTGAAAGCCACTAACTTATAGCAGGTTTTACTATTAGGCTTCCTAATATAATATATTTTTTATCAATTTCAAGATTTTTTATAATTATTTTATATGAATTCATGATTACTTTTGCAAAAAGCTCTACTCAACATCACTTCTACAAAAGCTACAACTAGGCCAGATTGGTTGTAAACTTTCATTGCATTTGGATGGATTATGTGGGATTTCATAATGGTGGAAGGATTTTGAAATTCTTATTTAAATTAATTATTTAATTTATTATTATTTTGTTAAGGAATTGACTGTGTATACTTTAGGCAGTGTCAAAGTGATTAATTAGAATTTTAATTTAGGATTTCAGCATAACTACATTTTAGATGTCATTTTACTACATTTTGGACACTATTTTATAATAAAGCATTTTTTGCTAATAGAAGATAATCTAGAAAGGGATTTTGAAATCCTTTCATGTTATGAAATTCCTCATAAATGTTCTTTAATTCAAATGCAGCCTTAGGAAGTTATCTCACTTAATAATAGATGTAATTATAAGGGCTATAGAGGACATGGCTACTGGTTTGTTGTATAGATTCAGCAGATAGATATCATCTGTGCACTAGGATGTAGGAATTGATGAATCATGGATGATTATAGCTCATTCCTTTTGAATCTTGAATGAACTACTTGGTGTCAGCATGACTGTCTAGAGAAAAAAAAAAAAAAAGGGGGTTAGATAATCTTGGCTAGTGATTGTCGTCACATTGTCACTGTTGGTCAGGGAGAACTGTCAATGCATGCAATTGTATCCATTCATGTTCTTCTGAGTTAATGAGTTAAAACTTCTGAGCTATGCATATGGCTTCTGAGGGCAAAAGATTACATCTGTAAGAAAGTGTAGGAAGAAAAGTATGCATCTCTTAGTAAATGTAATTCATGATTAAATGCAATTTTTCTTGTTAGGAATTTTTTGAAGGAGTTCAAAGCTTTTGATGCAAGAAAAGGGAAGTGGATAGAGAAAAGGGAAGTGGATAGAGAAAATGGAATTATCTGCTAGGTTGTTGCTTAATTCTCGGGTTTTAAATTTTTATCCACATTGGTTTGACACTAGTGCATCGTTCTACATTTTTATATTGATTCTTCACAAGAACATTTCCTTTTTATATACCAAAAGGAGAAAAAGGGAAAACAGAGTGAAAACTGTCTTTAACATACATCAAGCTGTCCCTTGGAGATGCACGGGCTTATTATTTATCTACTGCTAAGAATGAACTGGGAGTTGTATCGGCAGAGAGCTCAGCTGGTAAGAAAGATTCTGGGACCAAAGAAGTTTTCTAAAATGGAGTTCCTTTTTTTGCTTGTTAGGTTAGATTCTACAAATTTCTTTGAATAAGAGCTTTGTGTTTCTTCTATTTTCTTTGGCTTACTAGAGTTTTTGCCTGCTATTTCTTATGCTTTTACTGCATTTAACATCCTCCAAAGACTTTGGGCAGTTCTGCTTGTTAGAATTGGACAAATGGTCCTTGTGTACTCTGGTTCCTGTTCTTCCAAAAATCCTATACTTTATAATTGAATTGTAGACAAATGGTCCTAGTGTACTCTGTTATCAATCTTGAAGGAAGAAAGGAAGCCTATTTTTATGCGAAAAGGAGGTCATCAATTAGGTCCTTTAGGAGATGGCTAAAAAAATTAGAGTCTTCACTCTTCAGTAGATTTTAAAACATCTTTTGAATTTCGTTGAGGAACTAGCTACCCTAAGTAACAAAACATGGAAGCCCATAAGGAATAAATGCTTTTATTTAAAAGAAACTTCCTCGTAAAATCCTACATGAGGTGCAATAAGAGTGGTGAATAGGGGGTAATATTCACATTAATTGAACTAAAACCAAAGGGGTTCCATCACAAGTCTGGGCAACAAAATTTTAGAACTTTACATTGTTATGTTGTCATTTCTGCTTCCCTATGCAAGGTTGGAAGACCAAAAATAATTGCAAAAGTTTATCATGAGATCTGGAGGAAGACTATTTTTCTATCCTAACAATATGCCTCAGGGCTTAGTTTGTCTTGTTTTTCTATAATTTGTATCGTCCTCCGTAAGTTGTATTTATTTTAATTTAAAACAAAATTGATACACGAGCCTATATCTCTCATATTTTACATTGATGAATTGTCATTCCTGTATTTTTATGTTTTTATCCAATTTGTTTATTCTTTGTGAATGTTGGTTTATCTATACTTCCATTGGACTGGATGGAAATGCAGGATTCATCAACTTCCTATTTCTTTTGCTATTGTAGGTGCAGCAATGGTCCCCATAAGTTGGACGGAGATGCAGTGCCCATTGACTGGCCAAATTGAGCAGCGGAAGGTTGCTAAAGTGGAAGTAAATTAACAGAATTAAGGCTTAGTGTAGGAACTGGCCAGAGAAAAAAGAGCTTTTAATTAAGCTTAGGGACAATCATAGAGATTCTTTTTCCCTTATCTAATGGAACGCTTATACTTAGGAAATTTTGCACTGAAGGTACTGATTATCATGTAAGAGCACTTTATGATTTATATCCCTGAATTGTTTCTGTGTCAGTTGTATTTACTCTTTAAAATTTAAGCCACTACATGTTAAAGCATGGGGTTAGGAATTTTTTTTTTTTTTGGTCACTAAATTCTTAATATCTAGAAGTTATATTGGGTCTAGATTAATTTGAAATTAAGTTAAGTGTTATAAAGAGAGAAACTCTTCTAGAGTTTCTCTTTATTTATAAGATTTGAATTTGAGATTTAGTTAAAAAGAATAAAGTTGTCTCTACTCAAGTTAACAAGTTATTGGTATGGGGTTAAGATTCATTTACACAACTTTTAATATATCATTTATAAAGGATTCATATATATTATTTATATAAAATCTTGATTATTTATTTTTTAATGATATTTGTCATCTTATTTTTTTTAAATTAATTATTTTTTATCTAAAATTTCATAATAAATTTTAATATGAATGGTTAAGATTTTGTATAAATAAAATATGTAAAAATTGTATAATATATAGTGGATCTTAACTTTGAAGTATACACTTCAAATTTTTGTTGCTGTCTTTTTCCATTTTAGGAAAACTTCATTCGAGAGGGCAAGTTGTTTGGTAAAAAATTTAAATAAAAAAGCAAAATACTATTAACAATTTTTTAGATACTAATGAGCTAAATAATTTAGTGGTTATCTCTTTTAGATGAAGTTATCTCATTCCGCTGAAACTAAGAGGTCAAAAGTTCGAGTCGCATGTCATGCAGGTGGGGTGGGATAAGGGATGGAGATCACTATCTCTCATTATGCAACCAAGATAAAAAAAATTTTTTTTAGATGATGTTATGTGATTACATAGAGATCAAGTGGTTACAAACTTTTTAAAATCAATTGGAAAATAATTAGCTGTGATCTGATACATTGAAGCTTATTTTTTATGTTGCCATGGGTTAATAAAGATTATTTTCATTGAGTTGGAGCCTTTGACATTTTTGTCAATTTAGCCTGTTGAGTCCACAACTTCATGTACATGAGAATGACCTTAAGATTGGAGCATTTTTTGGGCTAGAGCAAGACAATAATATTACCCAAGAAAAAGTGCAATTCAAGTGCTTTTTTGGACTTTTGCAAATAAATTAAAGGCTCACAGATTGGAGGTAATATTTTAGTTGAGCTAAATTCTTATCTTCTTTCCTTAGTGTGAATGAGTTGCAGACTTGGAGATCAAATCAAAATGAGATTTGACTTGGTTAATTGAGAAAATTAGGGCAACTTTCAATGGGTTCCAACAAACAAGATTTTGGTGGTTTTTGACTGTTTTATTTTTGTTTCTAGCCATTAGTAGATCACATGGTGAAGATAATTTCAAAATTGTTACAATCTTGTTTCATCGTGGAAGATGGGAAGGATTAAGATTAGGTTTTTGATAAACAGGTTTAGTCATGGAGGCTTTTAAATACAAGTTTTCAACATGTTTGCTAGTTTAACAAGCCTGCTGCCTCTTCACACACAAGTCAATATATTTTCAAAACTCAATATTCTACACAGCATTATTTAGTTTAGCATAATTTACTTCTACACAAAGCATTACTTAGTTTAGCCTAGTGTACCTAGCAATTTCTTAGTTCAAGATTATTTTTAGCAAGGTGCTTTTAAATTTTTAGTCAAATAGAAGTAGATCAGTAGTCCCCAGTGTATTCTTGTTCATAGTTGATTTAGTTTTTGGTAAGATTAATCTCTATGACATTTATCTTATTTTGTTGTTTGCTTTTACTTGATTGCTTAATTGTTAATTACTTCATTTAAATTCAAGTATGTCTGCAATTTCAATTAAATTTAAAGTTTTTCCACATTTTTGTTGCAATTTATGATATGATTTGGTTGAATTTTAGTTTACTGCACTTTACATATTTATGTAAGTTTTCAAATTTTGCCTATAATTTAAAATTTTGTCTAACTACATTTACTATATTTTCATTTATTAATTTCCAACACTTATTTTTAGTTATTTACTCGTTGGCACTTTAGTTTAATTTTTCTTGATATATGCTTACCATAACCAAAGTTCTTGATGTGCTTCCAAAGTAAGTTTGAGTTCATTGTGCAAGAACGAATCTGCCAATCATTTGATTCTGACATGTTTTATTTTAAATAGTGTTCTTCCAACAACCTTTTTCACAAGGAAAAATTGAGTGAAAGAAAAAGGTTGTCATTTAATCTTTTTCTTGCTTTTCTTGCAAAAATAAGTGGCATGCCTTTATTCCAATTCTATTGCGAGGTATGACTAACAAGATTCTAGAAATAACATTATTGGTATTGGTCACTATTTTACTACTGTACCAAAAATAAATACCACATATTGGTGCTAAAACTCCTTTAATGAAGAGTTTAGATGAGTTTTTTTTCTGGCCTCAGTTGATAGCGAGTTTGGCAAAAAAAGAAACAATTGTTAATAAAAATATTGTTTACACCCTTTTTGCAAAAAATAAGAGGTTGTCACATGTCCTAGTTATAGTTATGATCAAATCATTTCATTGATGATTTAAGTGCAAAATTTTAAGGATAATCCTAAGCAAATCAAGGGATTACAAGGAATTGAGTTTTGAAGAAGATAAGCATGTATAAGTTGTTGCCATGTTGCGATCTCTTCAACCAAAATCGAGGAAAATTGATGATCTTCCTCTAGTAATTGTTGTAACTCACTGCAACATGTTAGTTAGGGTAACGTAAATGTTTAGCTTTCTATCACTGATTTAGGATGCTATTATAGTTCTTTAGCCTATTAAGATGTTGTTGCATATCTCCAATATGTTGCCATCGGCATTTTATGTTATAAATGCATGAAGATTGAGCCAAGCAAAGTAGGCCTACCCACAACAGCCTAACATTATTTTTCAATACTCAAAACAAATGTCAATCTTCAAGCTTTTTAATTTAGTCTTAACTTTACAGCTTCATCAAGGCCAACCTCTCAAAGTGGCCCAACAAATTTTCTTTTCAATTTCATAAGCAATGTCTGAGTTTAGCTCCTGTTTTGTCGAACTTTCTTAATTTAGTCTTACACTACCACAAACTTCATCTCCAATTTGTTATTTTGTGTTGAACATCTTCATTGATGTATTTGAAATTTTGCAATTCAATTCAACAAATCTTTTATCAAATTAATACCTCTTTGGTTTTTGCTAACTTTCACTTCATGTTGCCACACACTAATGTTTTTAGTTTAGCTAAATCTACTTCAATTTTCTACACTTTGCTTTGGAATCATTGTGCAATTTCCTTTGAATTTAGTTTTATGCTTTCTTATCTACACAACCTTTATTTTATTCTTTACACCTTCATGGTTTCATGGTAGTATCACATTTCCCCATTGCAATTTAGTTTCCTAATATCTATCATACACTTTTTTCCTCTCCTTTTTTTTTCTTTTATTTTGATTAGCAAATTAACGTTTTGACCACAATTGTGGGAAGTCCTTGATGTTCTTCCAAGGCAATTTATAGACTTGTAGGAAGATACCCTCATTTTTGTGACAAATGTTTGACCATGGTATGTCTCAAAATTTATTTAACCCATGCTTTTCCATCAATTATGCTTGGAGTTAATAAGGGTTGTTGGGAATCCTCTCTTTAAGTAAAAATAAGTGGCACGTCTTCACAGTTTTATTTGCCACGTGGCTAGAAAGAGAGATTTTAAAGTGACAATATATTTTTGGCACGCCTAGTGGGACCCACCTTGGGTTTCATTAGTTTGTTGATCATATATCTTGCTATTGAAAGAATATGCCATTATAGTAAGTCTTTATTTTGATGACATTTAAAAACTTTTTATGACTCTGCCACAGACTTCTTCATATGTCAATCCACTTATTGTCAGAAAGGAAAAGTAGGTAGTGAGTTCTCTAAATCATTTGCTAAAGTGACAACTGATTTGATGAGAAATTTAATGGTGTTTTGAGGAATATATGAGGTGGTTAAAAGAAAGTGGGGAAAAATGCAAACAAGATATTTAGATTTTTTTTTTTGAGAAAAAAATCTTTAAAAACTTAAAACCTCTTAACTTCAAAATAAGGTCTTAATGAACTAATACATATATCTGACAAGATATCCACCTATTCAATTTTTCAATGAATAAATATATCTTTTCTGCCTTGTTTAGAAAGTATTTGTGGTGATTATGCTTCAATAATTGAAACCCTTCCAATTTCAATTATCGACAATGGTTAAACATGATGTACCTCTTTAAAGTTGTTAGTTTGAGGAAGGGAGTTCCCTTCACACTCTAGACATAACCTAATCATAATGAACAACAAAAGTTGTAAAATTTTACTGTCAATGGAGTTCCCAAAGCTATAAAAAAAGGAGGCTACAAGACATGGGTTGCTATAGCTAGTGGTCAATCTAAGTATTAAATCAATATTATTATAATAAAAAGACATTTGCAAACCTATTTTGCCTCACAATTTCTAGACTTACTACCAAAAGCTACTCAAAAGGTTTGTAGGCCATTATATTATCCAATAATTTGCATACATGATATAAGCCATACTCAAAGAAAAACAATTCTTTCTAAAGTGGTTTTCATGAAAAATTCTTAGATTCATTGCAGACAAAAGGATAACTTTGAGGATAGCATAAGAAATACATTGCCTCTGTGGACTGTGGCCATTAACTAATAGAAGAAGAAAAAGGAGATCCAATGACTTTTATTAGACATAAAAGAGAGAACAAAAGCACCAAACTCATGTCTCTTATAAAAGGCACAAGGGACATAATCTTGCAGACAAATATGGAGGCATAGGCATACACATTTCTCTACCCAAAATCTTAAGACTTTTTGGATATAGTTTCAAAAGAAGCAAGTTAAAGAAAGTTGAAAACATGTTACCCAATTTTTGGCCTTATGAAAGTAGGTGCCAAAATTTAAGAACCATAAATGATAGCTTCTAGCCTTTCGCTTTTATATCCATGCTACAAAGCTCAAACTTTTTCAAAGACTTCTTCCCCTTTTCTATTTGTTTCATTTTATTTCTTCTTCTTTTTGTTTGCATAGCCCTAAGACATAACCAACAACTTTACTTGGTCTTGTCAAAAAATACAACCACAATCTGTCAGCTTCAAACGCAATCACCTTGATCGCGATTGCATCATTTTTCTTTGATAACATCACTTTCATGCATGCAAAAAAACCCTAATCCAAGCGCACAACCCACTTCAGCCATGACTATTGGACACTAGTTTGCTTCTTAAACCTTAAAACAACAAAGTAAGGTCAACTCCAACTACCCTTTTTGGCATGAATTTGGCAATATTCAAAAGCAAATTTCTAGAATTGTAAAAGAAAAGCTTTCTTGTCATATCAACTAAATCCATGTTATGTCCAACAACTTTTTTAATTTAGGCCATATTTTGAAAGAACTCAGTCCTACACCTTTATGTCTTTATTACCCTCAACCAAGCTAACTTGTATTACCTTTCTAAATCAAAACAAATTGGAGTGAATGGTCAAGATGCATGGTTACTTAGCCAACAGTAATCCTAAGAGAATGGCCAACATGGTTGGAATAGTTGTAGCCTCATTTTGTAGACTCAAGGAAAGCAAATAGATTTTTTGAATTCATTTAAATGACCAAAACCTTTTTCCTTTAGATAGGAACATATTGGTAGGAGCTATGTATTTTTGGTCATGCCTCTACAATTGCTTTCAGTTTTTATATGCTGCCATGTCTATTTCTTTGTTTGACATTTGTATATTGATTGACCTCTCCTAAATCAAAGAAGAAGTTTTGGCTCTATTGTTAATCATTCCCTTAGAGGAGTATGACACTTAACACCAAAACATCCTTTCTCGGCTTTTAAAGGAACTCAATTCTTGCCTCCAAGGGTAAGAATCCAAATTTAAGAAAATATATGTCCTTTTTATTATGCTTCATTTACAAGTTTATTGTTGGTTTTATTGGGAAATGTGTTGCCAAAAATTTTCTCCCTTTTGATGATACTTTGGCACATCATAAAAAATTTGCACTTACATAGCTTATACTTAAATATATCTACCTATATATACCATGACTATTATGATGTAGCCATCTTTTCACTTAGGAGATTTAGTGGTGCTCTTTGGGTCCAATAACTATGGCTTTATTCTTATTTGCCAATTGTTGTCCCTAAGTTTGAGAAGGCTAATGATGCAAACTTGTTGACTTATGAAATGTGTGTATAAAATGTGAACAAACTATCAAAGAGTTTTGAGACATATTTTAACCATTTTGCTTCCCTCTCAAATGATAAAACAAATGCAAATTTTGTAGTTTTTTTTTTTTTTTTTTGTTAAGAACTATGGCCTGGAATGGCATAAAACAAGTAATAACAAGAAATTCAATGTTTATTAAAAAGTGTAAAATCTCTAAAAAAGGCTTGTATATAGGCTACAATATTTGGACATCACAATTAAGCTGTAGCACAAAGTTATACGCACTTAATTAATTATGTTGGAACCTTATGTATTGTGAAGACATCTTTACTCGACCTCAGTTTGTGGGTAACATGTGGTTCCCTTTGAGGTTTCTCTTTGATAAAGCTAAATCCTTGAAAGAGTAAATTGATCTCACTAATACATTGCTCATATTAGTACATGTTATACTTTACACTACGTGACATAATGGATTCCATTGATAAATTCGGCTCCCCTAGAAAATAGAAAGAAAGGAAAAGAAGATGAAACCAAGGTTGAGACTACCTCACCTATTAACAAAGCAAAAGGTTCAACAACTAAAAAACCAAAGACATAACCTGTTAAAATAAGTATCTGCTCCATCAATTTCTAGACAAAATGAGGCAACGAACAAGGCTACAAGAGGTAAATCTTTTAACTTCCAACCTTCATACTTTCACTTCCTTTGCTTTTACGAGACTAATCTCATTATTGTACAACAAGATTTCTTTGTGCTACCATCAAGCTTATAGTTGCAAAGGTGATTCTCTATTATTTGAAACTAAAAGCATTTGGTTTTCCTTTTAGATTTTAAGTAAGGTTTATTTTTTTTTTTAAATGTAGGACTAAATGAGCAAATTGACCTCATATGAAAGGAATTACGGTAACTTATCACCTCACCACTAAATTCTACTACTCTTGCTCATGTAATTTCAAATTTTTTAGACCTTATCTCACTGTTTAAGCATATATGCTTCCTCTATATTTCTTGTTGCCTCTTGAAACTTAATTTTTCATGTTGAATTTAAGTGGTTACCTTATGAACTTGTAAGCTAATCCTCTAGTTTTTGGAATAGATGATAACACCCTTAAGAATGAGGTTTTTGCATAACTAGATCTTTTGGATGACTCCTTAACAAAAGAAAAGTCTATGCCACTTTATTAGAGGGAAAAGATTGTGAAATGAAAAGTAAATGATGAGTATGATATTCCTTCTTAAGAGTTTGTTAACATTGCTATTGTTATTCTCCTTGAGCCATTAAATAACAATCCATCTAACCTTTACCAAGTTCAAGATAAAAAGGAACATTCAATGCTACAAAGATTCTAAGTAAGGCTTTCACCCCAAATGCATCATAGCACCTATTCTTGAATGATTTTCTTACTGTGTACAAAAACTTTAGCTAGTGGATTATAAATGAGAAACTTTAGCCAATGGTTTCTAAATGAGGAGGTTATGTTAGATGCATTCATAGCTGCAAGTCTTGCCCAGTAACATAAAGAAGTAGTGAAGAAAGAGTAAATACATGTGTAAAGGTAAAAGATGCTATGATCACCCAAACCAAACAGCATTAAGACAACTTGGATGAGATGTCTACATTAGAGGCTTACCTTGTTGAGTTAAGAGCATGTTTGGTGAAGCCTGTAAGTGTTTCAGCTTTTTTGATACTATTCATGTTTCATAAGTTTAAAATTTTATTGGAAGGAAAATTTAAAAGTTGCTTTTAGAAAGAATAAAAATGAAGTGTCCAAAAGCAAATGTTGGAAGCTTTTCAAAATTTATTATTTAAGGTCTTTTTAAGGTTGAAAAAAAAGTTTAAAAAATATAAGTTTTTAAGAGGAAAATTTAAACTTATGAACAATGAATAATATCAAAAAAACTGAAGCACTTGGAAGCTAAACCAAACATGCCCTAAGAAAAATAACAACAAAAGAAGAAGTAACCTTAAATCCCTTAAAGTTGAGAGGTCTAAGTTATTGATTGAGCTTAAGGAGGAAGTATATAACACACCTCCCCTGAGTACCTTAGTCCTAGAGGAGTCATGAAATAAGAATTATAGTAAAAGATTGCAATGGGAGTAGAAATACTTCTGATATAAATGTTTCATTAGATAAAAAAAAAAAA